CATTTAGATATGACAGGGATTCCGCCGGAAATCACCACACGTAGGCTGAGCAATAGTCCCAGGTTAAACCTGTAAAACAAAAAAGGAGGCCCTCAGTTTGAAAAGCCTCATGTCAACATCCAGTCAACAGGATGTTCGAAGAACAAATAGGTAAAATAACGAAAGCCTATATTGATGATATGACTGGTTAGGTCCCTATGCACAGAGGACAATTTAAATTCATTTGCAGGAAACAGTCAACGTTTTGGGGCGATGCGACACGAAGCTCAACCCAGAGAAACGTACCTTCGGAGTTGGTACAGGTAAGTTTCTCGGCTTCATGGTGTCAAATCGGGGCATCAGAATCATCCCCGACCAGGTCAAGGCTCTCGAAGATATCACGATCGCGGATAGCAAGATAGGACCGCATTAAGCCCTCGGAGTCGTTGGTAAAGGATCTTACAAGCTCGGCACGATAAAAGCTCTCAAAGGCTCGCGATCTCGAAGACACCCCTTCTTGCACGAAGGCCTTAGGTTTTAAAGCATGCGTTGAACTCTTTTTCCCTTGTCTCGAATTTTGTCCCAAATGGGTTTTACCGGCAAGGTTTTTAATGAGGCAACAACTATGTGCTACCTAAGGAAAACTCGATAGTATCCAAGGTTTCTTTTTAATCAACCCCGGATACTAGGGGGCATTACCCTCGGAGGTTATATTTTCAAGAAAAATACTTCATGCCTAAGAGAACCTCGATAGGAAAACTTTGTAATGGGCCAAACGGTCAGATGAACCGTGTCCATATATTAGTCAAGCCCCGACAACAAAGCATGAACACATGTATCAATTCTGTTAATATCAAAAACACTTGGTGTTTCAAAGAAGTCTACTATTACACGAACTCTACATCCTACGGGAAACGGCTTAAGAGCCAAAGCATAGAAGCACCCTGAATACTCGGGGACTGTCATCGACAGTTAGTACACCCGAGTCATCGAAAATTCGTATTAATAAGACCTCAAAGAGGCACCCCCTCAAAACAAAGGCCAAGGCCAATTTACTCGGGGACTAACTTCTCGAACAAATTCGGAAAATTATCGGGAAACAAGTCTATGTGACATACCTGAAGGCTACGGCCATACTAAAGACTACGGTCATACAAAAGCTAGGCCATATAAAGGCTACGGCCATACTAAAGACTACGGTCATATAAAGGCTACGACCAAATAATGCGGCTCGGAGACGTCCGACTTCCGCTATAAATTAAAGGCCTTCAAACACTTTGTAAAAACCGGTTAGATCAGGCTACCCTCGGCAAAAGCAAAATATAAAGGGCTTTGATAAATTCATTCCTCGAAAAATCTAAGGGCTTCGATAACATCGGCCTTCGGAAATACCTCAAGAGGTATTCAATTATGTTTACACAAACAAATTACTAATAAGGTTCCGATATGTCAAACCTTCGAGAAAACCTACGGGTGCAAAAAACACATGCTAAGGCATAATTAAAATTTCACTAAGTCTTTTAAGCCGAAATGAGGGGAAAATTATATAGCCATTCTAAGAGGTCGAATCGGCCCAACTTAAAGAGCCCAAGGGCCAACTTAAAGATCCTAACGGCCGATATATAAGAGCCCAAGGTCCAACTTAAAGAGCCTAAGGGCCGATATAAGAGCCCAAGGGCCAATTTAAAGAGCCTAAGGGCCGATATATAAGGGCCTAAGGGCCAACTTCGAAAGGCTTAAGGGCCAAAAACGTATTATACGAGACTCCATTCTCACTCAACCCGGACGCAAGAGTCACGGTATCCCGAGCTTTAGTCGGATCAATTTAAACTTATCTCAAAATGATTACTATTTCTATCAACAAAGATCTAAGGGTTTACTATATCCCAAGCCCAAGCCCATTTCAGGGCTAATCGTTCAAGTTATGCAAAAAAAAAGGCATTCCATAAATCAAAGCAGTATGAAATCCAGTACAAGTCAGAAATGAGATGAAGAGTTCCTATTATATTCCCAAAAGATGATTACAGGGGATGTTTTCACAAGGGATAACTACACAAAAACAAAGCAAGGAAACCTAAAACTACTTCAGAGTCACATATTCGGCAGTTGCATCCTCGGGAGCCGCTTCTTCGGAATCCTCATCCTTGGATACTCCACCTTCATCTCCCTCACTCTCGGAGCCACTAGCTGAATCATCCTCGTCGGAAAGCAGAGCGGCAGCCTCTTCTTCCAATATCTTCGCCCTATCTATATCGACTGAGAGATCGAAGCCACGAACATGCACCTCCTCGAGGGTAGCCCTCCGAGATTGACGCCTAGCATGATCAAGTGCGTTCGATAACTTAACTTCTGCCCAGAAGAGATGTCCTTTGCCGGAGCTTGCCCATGGTCACCAAACAAACATATCGAGACATGGGCTCGCATTGGCCTGGTGTCGATGCTGGTTTCTCGATTTTGAAATCGGATGTTATTTCACATGGCGGGGGGATGCACTCCTCAATACGAGGGGGCACTACCGGTTTACTCTTGGTCGATCGAGAAGATGAAGAAGCTTTTTCTTTTTGGGAAACCGGTTTAGAGGTTTTAGCCATCGCAATGCGGAGGATCTAAGAAAATTAAGAGTGTTGATAGTGAAGAGAAAGGAGAGTTCAAGGAAGCAGAGATTTCAAGGAAGTTGAAAAAGGCTAATGAAACTTTGAGAACAATATGAGAATAAAGTTTTCAAGGTTGTGAAATTTGTCTATTTATAGAGGTCATTTAAGCGTGCTGGGGAAGCCAAAAGGCCGGCCGTCAGCCGCCTCCAATTAATGATTTTGGGAATCGCACGAAAAGCAAATTTTCAGTCGCTTCAACCGCTGATGTCACGATATTGGCATCAGGACCAAGGCATCAAGGATTAATTCGTCAAAAATCATAAAGGGAAGCCTATAAGTCGAGTTCGAGCAGAGTATCCATTCGATTACTAAGCCCAAGGGCTATCCGAGTTTGAGTAGTTTCTCACTCGAGAACTGTGAAAAGACCTGAGGGCTATCCTTATTACAAGTTCGAACAAATGCCCGCTCGACTGCAAAGCCCAAGGGCTACTCGAGTTGGAGAAATTTCTCACTGAGGGACTACAAAAAGATATAAGGATTAACTCCATTTCGAGATCTCGCTCTCACCTAACTTGGGCTCGAGATTCACCATGTTCCGAGTTTACATTTAAGCTCAGCTCGAGGATTAACGAGAACCTCGAGGGATATTATATTGATCAATTAAAAACCTAAGGATTTATTATGTCTTGAGCTCGATATTTGGGCTAGCCATTGAAACCATATAATCGAGTCTTTTACGAAAAAAGATAGAATAAAATTCAGCATGGACCGAAAGTTATACAAGGATCTTTTTATACTTCCAAGGAACGTTTACAAAGTATAGCTACGGCACCCACGAAGGATACATACACGGGAACAAAGAAGAAAAAAACAAAAACCAAAGAACCTAATCCACTTTTAAGACCACATCCTCGAGAGCATCGTCTTCGAAAATCCTCTTCTCGGTGGCACCATTTCAAATCTTTGGAAACGTTTATATAGGGCAGAAGGCCCTCGATAGATGTAATTATATCCGAGATTGAACATTCCGTTGAAGCTTTGGGCCACAATACATTAAGAAAGAACAAGCAAAAGAAAAAAAAACCAAAAGGGGTTGCAAGATGCACGAGCAACAATCCAAGAGTGTTCATCCTCGGAACTCTGTTCCGGTGTAGGATGCAAAATTTAGTAGATAATAGTGCCATCTCATTCCATGGAAAGCAAAAGGAATGAAGCGCCACACCAGGTTGAAGTTAAGAGAGATGAGCAGCAGTGTAAAGTTCGCATATCTTCTGATACGGGAGGGATTCGGTGCCTTTCTCTCGTTGTCTCGAGCCGAAGCTTTGAAAAAGGAAGCCTTGGCGTAACTGGTAAAGTCGTTGGCATGTGACCTTGTGGCCACATATTTGAACCATGGAAATAGGTGATTAGAGGAAGAGGTAGAGAAGGGAAAGGACTAAAAGTAGATGAAGAAGGAATAAGTGTAGTTTTTGTTCAGCCAAGTAACCTCTTATTTATAGAAAGCCGGCGATGGGACCGGCGGCGCAAGTGGCCGACAAAGGCTGGAGCGTATTTGACGTTTTGGGGAAGCACGCTGACATGACATTCCCGATCAGTTCAAGTGCCTATGTCATGGGCATGACGTCATCACGAGTGGTTCGGCAAAATCGAGGTTCAAATCGTTTCTTATCATCTTATTCTAAGAAACGCGGGGACTATCTGTATACGGTAAAAATCGGAGAGCTCGATTTCTAAGGTTGGATTACACTCCGAGTCCGAGTTCTGGAAGGTCGAAATAAGAATCAAGCCAGGCCCGAATGAGCGCACCTCGAGAAGCAAATCAGGGACCCGTCATAATCTGCCTCGAGGGCAGTACAATTTCAAAGACACTCAAGAAAGAGCGGGAATTTCCAAGAACACGTGGGTCAGGGTATAAAGTAAGGGATAAGATTTGTACGAAATAGTACAAGTCCGTACTAGGTTGTTATACAGCTGTACCAATAGAATTCTTTACCATAATTGGGAATGTACCATATTAGGGTTTTCCCCTTCTATATAAAGGGACCCCAATCTTTGTAAGGCATATCTCATTCACTGCAATAGAACATTCTATTCTACTTTTCTCGTTTACCGTGCTCAACAATTATTTTCAGCTTTATTGTCTTTACTTTATTGTTCATACTTTATTGTTCTTAGCTCGCCTCGAGGCCCCTGAGATAATCGAGCTCGAGGTCCTTATTGCTCTAACAACACTGGTTTGGTTCATCAATTCTTCTTACTTAAACTTAATATTATTTGTACATTCACTAGTATTGGAATAAATCAAATATCTTTAAAACCACAAATCATATTTAATTGTTACTCACATATTTCAAGGTAAACAACTAGTATTAAAATTGTAATGAAATTGCCTGCACAAAGCTAAGATGTAATTTAACTAGAAATGTGTCATATCCCCCACGGATATACGGGATTAGTTAGGTATGTTCCGCTTTGAAGAGGAGCAACCTTTGGCTGATGGAATTGGTTCAATGCATAGGGATTATGTACTTGTAATTCCCATCCATTTGTCTGCAGATCTTTCGATGCCTCTGGTGATTGGTAAACATTGTTTTGTAGGCAAAAATTTCCTCTTGAAGCTGTGCATTGAAAACAAACAGAAGCATCCAAAAGGGTCTCCCAATCATTGTCATCTTCAAATTGTATCAAAGGCTGCATTTCACTCTCTTCCTTTCTAGTAAGAGATTGGCCTTCAAAGCTTGATTTCCTTTCCGATTTCTGCTTATCGCTGCCATCTTCAGATGATGGAGACTGCGGAGTTGATGTTACAGGGGATACCGACGTTGAAGAGGATGACAGACCATCTGTCAATTGCCACATCCCACTGAGGAAGTTCTCAAGGGCTCTGATTTGAATCTTTGGGATTTTGTCTACGAAGGGATATTCATACATGCCACGAAGCCCCAAAGACTTGCACCAGTCATAGAATTCACTAAGTTCATTTGCCTGGATTGCTGCCTTCTTATAAATCTCAAATGCTGCAGCACAACTTTTGTATGGCAACTGTATTAGATAATCTAATACCTCCACAATCTCTTTCCTGAAAGTCGTGTAACACGTGAAGCTATCGCGGATTATATGTTTCATGGCCGATTGAACTAAAAAGCTTCGTGCTGCTGGCCCTGTTGGCCGGCACTCCAGGACTCTGTCTATTAGATTTTGCAACTGAGGCAGAAATTCTAGCATTAGCCTCACTTCATCCATTTTGTCAATAAAGTTTTCACTACTTTTGTTATCTTCCTGGATTTCTTTTTCCGGAGTTGCAAAACAATCCAGGGACTCATCGAGCAAACGGGCGTATGACCGAATGAAATTGGTGTAATCTTGAGAAGCAGAGGATGAGCAATCTTTGAAGTTACAAGGGTAAAGTGACACCAAACTATTTGATCTTGCCAACAAGAGTTCTTCTCTAAAAGGGCTAATGTCAGGCAAGGATCTTAGCAGCCTGTGGAGCAGTAGGAGACATTTCAATGCAACTCTCCAGCACCGTGTCTTGCCAAAACGTCGACTGAAAGACACCGCGAATGAACCAAAAGAAGAGGGACAAATGGAGAATATTTGAAGGATTTCAAGAACGTACCTATCGGGCAACGGTATGTCATCAGGGGAGGTTGCTTTCACCACAATGTGATCAAGGTCACAAAGGCCTCCAATGGTTGCAATCTTCGCATAGCTAACACATGTATGTTCCCTAAGGGAGGTGAATACTTGCTTAATTCGTCTGTGCATTTTCTTCAAATCTTTTTCCTCAGATGGATTTGAAGAGAAAGGGGACAGAGATTAAAAATTCATGAAGAAGAGGGGAACTCTAGGAGTACTTGAGTTTGAGGTTGTGAAACCTAAGGAATGAAGAAATGAGTTGCGGTATATTCTTTAGGTTTTTGTTCTAATATGAAGCACATGACATTTGGATTTTTGAGAGAAACGACGTTTACAAGATAATTCAAAGGTAGATTGACATTCTCCATGCACTTTCAACTTCCTTTCTGTACCCATCGTTATATTATAGGAATATTAATTAGGTTAATTCACATTGTACCAAGTCTATCTAAACAATACTATGAACTTACCATAGTTGTTGACAAAAATTATAAAGAACATAACAAAGAAAAGAGCACAATACTTATTTTGTCCTTTGATAATATAGGAATTTGCCTATAGTAGGAATATGACTAATGTATAAGCTGGACGGCGATCCATCCTTTTGTGAGATTTAAGAATATCTTTAAAGTTTATGCTGGCTTTGAGTCGAAGCTCTGTCGGAAACGACCTATTTATGCGCATAAGATAGGGATAAGGTTTGCATATGCATTACCCTTCCCAGATTCGACTTGTGAAATTACACTGAGTAAGTTGCTGTTGTTTGATAGTAAATTAATCAATTTACTTATGTATTTATTTTTCTCCTGTCATAAGATAATAAATTTGTCACGATCAAGAATTCCCACCATCGGGACCGTGATGGCGCCTAACATTTCACTTACTAGGCAAGCCAACGTTAGATGTAATTATTAGCCAATTTGAGCAAGTTTCAACACGATATCAATAAAGGGAAACTGAATAATTTGAAATAAGACAAATAAACTAATAAATGCCGGAAACCAAATACAAATCCCGGAACTGGAATCGCGAAGACATGAGCGTCTAAGATACTACAAATAATGGTCTGAAATAAATATAACTATATGAATCAACTAAACAGCTAAAGGAAATAGAAGGGGACTTCAGAGCTGCGGACCCCATGCAGCCATGCCTCAAGTCTCCTCTAGATAGTTGGATCCAAGCAAGTCTACGAAATGCCGCTAGGACCAACTCTGGTATCTGTACAAGAAGTGCAGAGTGTAGTATGAGTACAACCGACCCCTTGTACCTGTAAGTGTCGAGCCTAACCTCGACGAAGTAGTAACGAGGCTAAGGCGGGTCACTTACACTAACCTGTACGCAATAATAATAATAATAATAATAATAATAATAATGGAAAAGACAGGAATAGAAATAAAGCAGGTAACTCATAACAACGAAACTCAAAATCAACCAACAGAGAGTCCCGAATAACCAATCATATAACTCGTCTCAACAACCGAGGCTAATTCGACAGTCACAAACAATTATTACTTTTTATCAATATATTACGGCGTAAGGCATGCGTACACACTACCCTCCCCAAACCCCACTTGTGGGACTATACTGGGTTGTTGTTGTTGTTGTATGTTGCGGCGTGCACCCGATCCCACAATATCAACATTAAACTATCCGTTACGACGCGCAATCCGATCTCATCATATAATCAGAAACAATATCATAATCCTCCCTGTTTCGCCATATCAATTCATTAGCTTTCACTTTCCGTTGCGGCGTGCAACCCGCTCCCCAAACAATATCATTTAATAATAGTAATTCAATAACTAGGATTTACAAGAAATCATACATCAAGTGTAAAACTGTACGAGCAATGCAGAATAACATGATAATCAGAAACTTGAACTACTCGGATACCTCAACTTCACCAACTCTACGGTATTAACTCTTGACAATTCATACAAATGAAACTACGTCAATGATGGCAACAATTAATACGGAATTGTAAAGCAACAAGGCATAAGACAATTTAGATATACAAGGGAAACAAATAGAGACAAGTAGTAAGTGGGCATGGAATCAGGGAGGGGGTTGACAATTTAATACAAGAAATGTTAAATGGCAAGTAGCAATTATGGCATGAAAGTCAAATAGGCATGTAGCAATTAAGGTATGAAACAAGATATATTATAAAGCAATAAAAATAAGGAAATAAGTAATGTAACACTTAAGACATGGAATAAGGTAATTAATAAAATACGGGAAAAGCATGAAAATAGTAATTTGACGACGTATATACAATCGTCACCTCGCATATACGCTGTTACACATGAAATTCACATAGCACATAGCTCAATGATCCCTAATTCCCTCAAATTAAGGTTAGATCCAACACTTACCTCACTCCGCAATCAACTCAAGATTCAACTACGGCTTTGCCTTTCGAACAAGCCTCCAAACCAACCAAATCTAGCAAATTATTAACCAAACGATTCAAAATAAGTCTTAGAAACTACCCACGAATGAAAGAGGTTCAATTTAGAGTATTATTAAAAATGTCAACAAAAGTCAGCCCCGAGCCTGCTTGGTCAAAATTCGAGATTCAAGCCAAAACATGATTACCCATTCACCCTCGAGCCCTATTATGTAATTTGTTTCGAAATCCAACCTCAATTCAAGGTCTAAATCCCAAATTTACAAAAATCCTTAATTCTACCCAAATCCTTAATTTCTACCATGAGAATCCTAGATTTGATGTTGAAATCTTATGAAATGTAATGGGTAATTGAAAGAAAGTAGATTAAAGTCACTTACCAATGGATTTTGGAACAAAATCTCTTGAAAAAAATCGTGTTTAGGGTGTTTAGGGTTGAAAGTTTGAAAGAAATGAGCTAATTCCCGTTTTTCTCCTTTATTAACCCGTTGCAGTTATCGCAATTGTGACACATAGTTCGCAATTGTGATCAACCCTTCGCAAATGAGAAAAGCCACTGAGCCTATTGTCATTGCATGGGACAATTTGTTCGCAATTGTGATCACCCAGCCTCCGCAATTGCACACTTTTACTTCTCAAATGCGAAGCCTGCGCTAGCACTGCTGAGTCGCCGCACTGCTGAGTCGCAATTGCGACTCTTGCATCGCAAATGCGATCACTGCTAAGTCCGCAAATGAGAACTTTTCCTCGTTATTGCGAGTTCTGCCCAACCAACCCATGCTCGCAATGCGAAGCATCCTTCACAAAAGCGAGGCTCGCATTTGCGAGCCAGACCTCGCAAATGCGAGATCTGCAATCCAGCATCAGAAGAAAAGAAGCATCAGCTATTTCCTAAGTCCAAACCCACTCCGTAGCCTATCTTCACACGAGCCCCTCGGGCTCCAAACCAATCTTGCACACAAGTGTAATAACATCATACGAACTCGCTCGCACGATCAAAATACCAAAATAACACCAAGAACCACGAAAAGGACACCAAAACAAATGAAATTTTAAAAGAAACTTAAGAACTTTCAATTTTGTCAACTGGACATCCGAATCACGTCAAATCAACTCCGTTTTGCACCAAATTTTGCAGACAAGTCATAAATACTAAAATGAACCTATACCAAGTTCCAAAACCATAACCCAAACTTGGTAGAAACAAAATCAACCTACGGTCAAACTTAGGAATTCTTTAAACCTTTAATGTTCTAGTTTTCAACAAATTACATTAAATCAAGTTAGGGACTTTGAATTTGATTCCGAGCATACGCCTGAGTCCAAATCACGATACGGATCCACCGGGACCGTCAAAACACCGATCCGGATCCGTCCGCTCAAAAAGTTAACCGAAGTCAACTTAAATGAGTTTTAAAGCACGATTTCATATCTTTATCAAATTTTCACATAAAACCCCCCGAAAAAAGGACACGAACTGCACATACAAATTGAGAAAGGCTAAATGGAGCTAATCAAGGATACGAAACACAGAATTGAGGGCTAAAACTGAAAATGACCTATCGGGTCATCACATTCTCCACCTCTAAAGCAAATGTTCGCCCTGGAACGGACATAGAAGGGTACCTGGACTGGTGAAATGGTGTGGATATCAACTCCGCATGTCCGACTCGAACTCCTAAGTGGCTGTCTCGATTGGCTGACCTCTCCACTGTACTCGAGCTGAAAGATAACTCTTATACCTCAACTGCCAAACCTTTTGGGCTAGAATAGCCACCAGCTCCTCTTTATAAGTCAAATCCTTGTCCGATTGGACCGAACTGAAATTTGACACATAGGACGGATCACTGTGATACTTCCAGAGCATAGAAACATGGAACACCGGATGGACTGCTGATAAACAAGGTGAAATACGAGCCTATAGGCCACCTCACTCACTCTCTCAAAAATCTCAAAAGGTTTGATATACCTAGGTCTCAACTTGCCCTTCTTTCCGAACCTCACCACACCCTTCATGGGTGAAACCCAGAGCAATACTCTGTCTCCAACCATGAATGCTACATCACGAACTCTACGGTCGGCATAACTCTTCTGCCTAGACTGAGCTGTGCGAAGTTGATCCTGAATAATCTTGACCTTATCCAAGGTATCCCGAACCAAATCGGTACCCAGCAACCGAGCCTCTCCTAGCTCAAACCAACCAACTAGCGAATTGCACCGCCTCTCGTACAAAGCCTCATAAAAAGCCATCTAAATGCTCGACTGGTAGTTGTTGTGTTAGGAAAACTCCGCAAGCGGCAAAAATTGATCCCAAAAACCACCGAAATCCAAAACACAAGCGTGAAGCATATCTTCCAATATCTGAATAGTGCGCTCGAACTGTCCTACCATCTAGGATTAAATGTTGTACTCAACTCAACCTGCATGCCTAACTCCGTTGTACGGCCATCCAAAAGTGCGAGGTGAACTGCGTACCTTGATCAGAAATGATAGACGCGGGCACACCGTGAAGACAGATGATCTTTCAGATGTAGATCTCAGCTAACCACTCTAAAGAATATGTAACTGCCACTGCAATGAAATGTGCCGACTTGGTCAACCTGTCAACAATGACCCAAACCGCGTCAAACTTCTTCTGAGTCCATGGGACTCCAACAACAAAATCAATGGTGATATGCTCCCACTTCCACTCAGGAATCTCTAGCTTCTAAAGCAA